AAAATATCCTTGTCATTATGAAGTCTCAATACCTAAGGTTTACACAAATGGTTATTGGAACAGAGACAATAACGAGATCTAGAGCAAGGGCTAGGACAGAGGCTTGCATGCTTTTAAGCAGCCTTTAGCGACTGCTAAACAGGCGCTCCTCACCCGGCAATCCTTTGTGTCAGGCACCATGCAGGTGGCACCATGGAGACCTCTCCTACCCTGGCCAACTGGTAGTCAAGTGTTTGGATTGCTTTTCTGAGACAGACAGATTTGATCCCTTCTCACCTTGGGCATTTTCTTGCTGAATAGACAAACTGTTAGACCATTTCAAGGTGGGAACCACCCATGCTCAGAAGAAAATGGCTCCTACTTTCCTATCTGCAAGTAGCCTCATCCAGTCATAGAGCACAAGGCACTCGCTGAGATCACCCACCATTTCAGACCTTTTAGGCAGGTACTGCATGTCTGAGTCCCAATAATCAAATTTAAGCACCTCCAAAGCTGGTGACAACTGATGGGCAAGGGCAGTTTAGCTTCCATCCTATGCAAGACATCCCTTGAATCTTGCCTTAAGCTTGTTGAACAACCTGGATCTAATACCTGACAAAACAGCAGAAGCTGAAAAAGGTGAGCAGTGGTTTGCCGAAGGAGGGTGGGTGTGAAACAATCTTATCGTTTGCTGAACATAGAAAGGAAAATAATTAGTAGAATGATCCATTAAACCACAAGCCCATAAAATCTCACTGAAAAGTAAAAATGTTACCATAAACTTAACCAGAAGTGTTTGAAAGATACCAAAGCTTAAAAATTTACATTTCCTTGCAACCAAGAACTCTGAACCCAAAGCTGGTGCTAAAGTTCACAACCTGTCAGGAACAGCTTCACCCCCCAAAAAGATGAAACATTTTGTTTTGTCATTAGATAAAGTTCAACACTGCTTTTACACAAATATTGACAATGTTCCTACATCATTCATGCTGTGAGAGAGAAACTAACAGTGCCATATATTATTAACACATACTTTTGCCTATACAGCTTGGCCAACTTCCTAAACAATCCAGCTCACCTAGTGTTGAAGTTAGGGCAACAGTTTCACGAATTCAGCTGGGCTGGGCTGGTCATTGCTAGTTCTAACCTTAGCAGTTATGCTTCCTTTTCCCTATATGACTGGTAATTGCATCAACTACTTCTGCCATCCTGACAAAATAAATAAGCCCACAGCCAGACGAAAAGTCAGAGCCAAGGGCATTTCTATCAAAAAGGAGACTATGCCCATAAAGACATTTACAAGAAAGGAAGGAAACCACAAAAATACGCTTCACGGGGGGAACAACAGCTGGACCAGCACAAACACACGACTGAATTCTGCAGCCGTGTCGTTCTCTGTTATTGTAACGTGTTTTCCAAAACACTGCGTAGTGCTTGCCGAGTGCCCTCCAGCCTAGTGAGCACTCAGAGCAATAGTCAGAGGCAAAGCTGCCTTCCAACACCAAATGCCAGCAATTCAGACATTTAAGGCTCTACCCTGTAGCCCTCCCACTCAGAGAGGCCCAAGCGCTTACCAAAGCCATGAGTGACCAGCAACACCCGCATGCAGGTCCCTGCTCTGAGGGACAAGCCACCGGCCACAGCTCCAGCCTGGTGCTGGTGCTCTCAGTGGAGGCAGCCCCAGCTCTCCTTACCCCTGCACTGCCCTTCTACAGGAGGCTGGGGATCAGATTAAGGCACTTTTCTCTGCCTTGGGTTTCTGCGCCGCTTCCTACTCCTCGTCCTTCAGAGTCACTGCACAGTGTCTGGAAACAATTTTCTGTGGTCATTGTTTTAAAGAAATGGATTACATTTTTTGCTGAAGCAGACTGTCCTGGAAGCAGACTGAATTTCCCTGCTGTGGCTGAGGTTTGGCAAAGGTCTGATTCAGAAACAGAAAATCCCCTAAAGCAGATCCCAACCTGATTCCCTGCAGGGCAGCAGCTATGAGAATTGCAAATGCCATTTTATTAAAAAAACCATACAGGCAGCCTATCACAACAATGAGGTGCCAGGCAAAACTCAGAGGCAAAATCCCCTAGAAAACCATGTTTCTTACCAACACCCAGCCCTGCCCGACCCTTCAAATAGGACTTTGAGTCCCAGGGGAACTCGAGGGTGGTGCCACCCCACTCGTTGCACCAGCCATCTGCCCAGTGTCACGCTGATCTACTTCACTTGCGATGACACCTGCAACAACAGGGCACCTTCGCCAAGTTCCCATTCAAGATCTACCACAGAAAAGCTCAGAAACATAATAAAAAAAAAAAATAAGAAGTTGTAATACATCACGTTTTTGTAAATACAAGGCTGTCCAACCCTTGCAAAGCCCACCCCAGGCTGTACACCTTGTTGCCTTTCTGAGCAACACCCACGTCCGCAGGAGAACCTATACGCGCTTGACTTGGACGTCAGTTCACCTTAGAAAGACTGTGTTAACCCTTCTGAGTTCTTGTTGCCTCGGAGAAATGCAAGCAAAGAAAACAGACTTCAAAAAACCAAATTGCCATAAACCAGTTTTTAATGTAGGCACCCTGATATCCAGAATCTTACCTCATGGTCGGTAGGTGGCTTGAATTGCTTTCCTGTAATGAGTGAAAATTTCAAGTTTCAGTAGTAGCAGCAGTTAACATAGTATAACGTGTGGATGTAATTTTGACCAAAGGGGGTTGTGCAAGCAATTACCATATTTGAAAGTACTAACTAATGGTTGATTCTAAATAACAGCATTTACAGTTATATGAAACCAGTGGTTAACAGGATGTTCTACTTATC